CATTTGTCTACACTGACTTAACTATGACCTTCCAGGGAGTCTACTGTCTCTGCTTCCCATCTGTCCACAGAAGCCCTGAGTTTTCTGACACATATTACCACCTCTAGCCACCTCTTAGCCACCTCTAGGTGGGCTCTGGGGGTTTGAACTTAGGACCTCATACTTGCACAGCAAGTATTAATACCAGCTGACTATTTCCCTCAATCCATGTGTCGCAGTCAGATTTATTTATTTATTTATTCAAGTTGACACAAGCCAGAAACAACTGGAAAAAGGAATTTCAACTGCAAAAATTTCTCTATCAGATTGGTCCATAGGTGAGTCCAGGCTTTTTCCGTGAAAGTGACTGATACAGGAGGGCCCATACCACTATGGGCAGTGCCACTCATGGGCAGGTGTCCTGGGCTGTATAAGAAAGCAAACTGAGGAAGTCATGGGTAACAAGGCAGTAAGCAGTTTTTCTCCCTGGCATCTGCTTGAGTTTTTGTCTCCAGGTACCTTCTTGAGGGCCTACTCTGACTTCCATTCAACTTGGACTATAAACTGTAAGCTGAAATAAACCTTTTTCTTTAACACATAGCTATTGACCATGGTCTTTATCACAGCAATAAAAAGCAAACTTGGAAACCATGCACATGTGTTTTTGCCAATGATGGCATCCACTGTGCATAGCTTTTCTGTTGTATATCACACTCAGCATACATAAACCAGAGAGGGATGGATTCTAAATCTTATGCATTTTAGAAATTAATGGAATGAAGCTATTTCCCATGACCCTTGTTCCCCAATTAACAGAATACCAGAGTACTACAAGCAAGGCCAGAAGCAGCAAAGTAAGGGCTGGTAGTGTAGAGTGCACTCACTGTGTAGACCACCTCAGATGTGTCAGAGATAAGGTCAGGCAGCAGGGCCACTCCACTCTGCATAATGGCTCCATGGAAGAGTCCTTTGGACATGGGGGACACAACAAGTGAAGACACACTCACGCCACCTGCTGACCCACCAAAAATAGTGACCCGGCCAGGGTTGCCTCCAAAGTGGGCGATATTCTGCTGGACCCAGCGTAGGGCAGCCACTTGGTCCAGGTAGCCCCAGTTGCCTCTGGCGTGCTGGTCTCCAGTGCTGAGAAGTGGCAGGAACAGGAATTACAGATATGTCCATGTTCTACTGAGACCCCATTGTCCAGCCCAGTCACAAAATTACCTGAAGAAGCCAAGGATACCCAAACGATACTGGATAACAACAATTATTATTTCTTCAGTAGCTGCCAGTTTAGATACATCATGCATGGAAGCCGTTCCCATAACAAGTGCACCACCATGGATCCATACCATCACCTGGAGAAAT